CCAGGTGATCAAATATCTCCCTTCTACTCCAGACAGGAGCACATCTGGAGCATGTTGTCAGTATGGTCATCTGGGCAGTCGCACATGACATTGAAGTTTCTTGGTGTTCTTACCAAGATGGTCAGTCAAAACAAGGCATTTCAGAAATTTGCAGGGTTGTAAAAGGGTGAGGGACTTCTGGTTCCCATGAGCCTTAAGCAGTAGCATTCACAATTGTGACCAGAGGAGTCAGTGTTGGGCATTGTGGGGCAGCTGCTGGAGGACTGTTCAGGTCCACAAAGGTAACTATTTACATTCACACTGATTGACCATGTCTCATTGCCCCTTGAGGAGGTGATATTACTGTGTTGGTGTAATAGAAAGCTCACATGGGCAGGAAACAGATTTAAGCATAGACATGCGCAGCTGGGCTGACGAAAGTGTACTTTGTAGCATAGAGCAAGCTTTAGTAAATCCTGACAAATGGCAGAAAAGCACTGTCAATGTGACTACCCTTTGACTTCCCTAAGGTCTGTATGTTGTGACCCATCAGAGCTGGAACTGAATGTCACAAACATCAGGAAAGAGTTGAAAACTCAGACTGACAGACTTCAGTCACTTAAAGCCTTGGTAGGTTATGAAACATCAGTCCTTTTAAAACTCACTTTGATCTGATAAGTGATTTGATTTCTCTTCCCCTTTAATTCTGGCTTGATTGTAACCTTGACAAACAGCTAAAACCAAACCAAATCATATACAGTTTTATGCACCTGCTTACTTTACTTTATTACCATGAGTAGGTCCAATTGATTTAATGAGAAATAAAAAGTAAAACTAAGCATGTGCTTGTTTGCAGGACCAGAACCTAATAGAGTATTGCCAACCAGAAGCATTTAAAAATCACAAGTTAGGCTCCCCCAAAATCATTAAGTTGTCTTTAAAAACACAAGTTACTTAGGAAAAAATATTTTTGGATGCTTATTACTGGCCTTAGGTCATTAAGTGTTTAGGGCAGGAGTGGAGAACCCTCACTGACGTGGTCCCTGACTGATAAGGAGAAAGACACTCCTCACATTCCCCTTACACACCAGGCGAGGCCCAGGCTACTAGATTTTGTGTTCCAGCCCTGCAGGAGGTGGGGGAGGAGGGGATGGAATGCCAGTGCAGGTTGCACAATGCTGGGGAGCCCTGAGCCTCAGGGACCAGATTTAGGCAAGACGGGGGCTGCATCCGGTCCCCAGGCCTTTGGTTCCCCACGCCTGGTTTGGGGTTCTTGTTCTGTATCTTCTTTTCTGCAACCACAAGGGCTAGAAGTTTTTAAAGAAAATTGCGATTCTTCTCCTGATTCCAGAAGCTGAGTCTCTACAAAAATACTGTCAAGAGTTGGCAATATTGCTAGTAATAATAATCCTATATCTTATATAGCTTTGCTAATTGAATTGTTGAAGCCGAGAAAAATGTATAAAGAGCACCAGTGGGAAATTAATCAGTTATCAAACTGAGGTCCATGGAGCACTTCCTGGTGATCAGCACAGAACTGGCTAGTGATATAGTCCTCTCCTGTCCCCATTCCTCTTCTCATAGTTCCTATGTATTACACTGCATTGAAGGCAGCTAAAAATGTATTGTTTTTTTAGTACTAAATTTTCATTTAAGTAACTGTTCTAATTGTCATGAGGATGTTGCATGATAGTGGTGGGTCTCTGAGACAATCTCTTTGTAATAATGGAATCCACAGTATGAAAAAGATTTAAAATACTCCAAGTTAAAATGTTTGTGATATAAATACCAGCCTTTTAAAATGGGTTTTTAAACATGATCTTGTCTCTTTATGTAGAAAATAGATCACATTTGTCCATTTTCCCCTAAGTCTTTTATTTTCTTCACAAGCCCAGTGACAACAAGGAAGAGTAGGATTTCTTGAACATGGAAATAAGTACAGCTTACATTGCCAGAAATTAATATTCCACTTGCAGGACTTCTCTCTCTTTGTTGGGTGGGGAACCACAGTAGAAGAAAAAAAACATTAACACAAGTTCCATGTAACTGTTCAGAAGTCACAGTGCCTGGAATAGCATAGTGGATAAATACAGTATTAGCATTATTAAAATCTGTCTTGCTTGGTTATGTTGAAACTGAGGTTTGTCAATTCAAAATTATTCTATCCTCAAGAACTGGAAGATGATTTTAGGGCACTCAGTAAATGAAGACTCATCTCATGCTTCCAATATTCTTGATCTTATAGACATTAGTGGCTTTTGGCTTATTCAGAATGGTATTAGTTCTCTCTTACGCTGATGCCCTACCGCACCCCCAAACATATACTATAGAATAACTCTACTGAACTTAGTTTCAATGGAGAAGTTTTTGTAGATATCTGGATTTTTGTCCTAAGTGACTGAACAATTCTTTGTCTTTCCAAACTTTTTGTTCATCTAACAACTGATGGATTTTTCAAGTTAATTGGGAAGTTGTTTGCTTTTTTCTTGTATTTTTGGTGCATATATTAGACCTCAGTCTATTTTATATGATTATTTTCCAAAATCACTGTCACTATATTTATTAAATTTGTAAAGAAAAGGAAAATTAAAGGTTGGGATAGTTTTGATGTTGGATGGACTCTAGTAATACAGAAAGTTTGGACTAACAGTTATTTGCCTAGAATTAAATGTTCATGTGTTCTATTTATACGTCTCTCAGATTCAGCCATTCATAGTATAAAATCTCTACTCTCTGCTTTCAGTTTATAAATTAGTTTTAACCATCCAAGGCATGTGGCTGCAGTAATATGCAGTAGACCTTTGCAAATTTGTACCAGTAAATCAGGCATCCCATTGTAGATTGATGATTTCAGTAAACAAATAATTAAGGGCCCAATTCCACAAATTACTTAACACAGAGACTGGAGAGAGAAAATATTATAATTACATTGTATTATTCTAGAATACTGTATTCAGTACTGGTCACACAATCTCTGGGTTTGTCTACATGGCAATTAGTGTATGGAAAGCCAGGCTATCTGCAGCCCACTAGTTTGTGGTGCACTTTCTGACTATCTGGACTCTATTAGTGTGCAATAAAACTTCCACAGTGCACTCTGACATGTTCTCATGTGGACAAACCATCTGAAAGAACGTTGCAGAGTTCATTAGGGTTCAAAGAAGGACAACAAGAATTATTAGGCATGTGGAAACCTATCTTTATAAAGATTAAAAAGATTGGGGTGGTTTACATTTAGAAAGAGTCGATTAAGAGGAGCTATGATAAAAGTATGTAAGATAAAGGATGGTTGAGAGACAGGAGATCATAGAATCATAGGGTTGGAAGAGACCTCAGGAGATCATTGAGTCCAACTAAATCATCCCAGCCAGGGTTTTGTCAAGCCAGGACTTAAAAACCTTTAGGGATGGAGATTCCATCACCTCCTTAGGCAACATATTCCACTGCTTCACCACCCTTCTAGTAAAGCAGTTTTTCCTAATAGACAACCTAGACCTCCCACATTGCAACTTGAGACCATTCTCCTTGTTCTGTCATCTGTCACCACTGAGAACAGTCTTTCTCCATCCTCTTTGGGACCTTCCTTCAGGAAGTTGAAGACTGCTATCAAATCCCCCTCACTCTTCTCTTCTGCAGACTAAATAAGCTTAGCCTCTCCTTCTAAGTCACGTGCTTCAGCCCCCCCAATCATTTTGGTTGCCCTCTGCTGGGTCTTCTCCAGTGCATCCACATCTTTTCTGTAATGAGGGACCCAGAATTGGATGCAATACTCCAGATGTGGCCTCACCAGCGCCGAGATCAGGAGCTGTCTCACGTAATCAGAACAGTTCAACATTCAATTAAATTGAAATGCAGCTAATTCAGAACTGATAAGGAAAGCTTTTTCACTCAAGCCTTAATTAGAGTGTGGAACTCATTGCCACATGAAGTTGTTTTGGAAAGGAATTTAGCAAGATTCAAAGAGGGATTGGATGCTTTTATGGGTAACAAGACTATTCAGAGAATTATGATAGTTAATGCTAAAGAATAGTTTTGGTGGGGATAAAAAAAATCTCATGCTTCTGTATTTAAATCAGTTTTTAATTATTAGCGATTAGGATGAGATTTTATAGGGTCACCCATTATTGCACATTTGCCTGCTATGGAGTTCTTGCTGCGTCTCTGAAGTGTCTGATTCAGTATAGTTGTTCCAGTCTACGCTTGTGCTCAAATCGAGCTCCGTTGAGTGAAGTGCTTAAACACATGCTCATCTGCTTTCCTGAATTAGGGACCCATTGAATAAACTTGATCATTTGTTGTTGTTTTTGTAACTTAAGGCTACGTGGCCATGTTAGTCTGTATCTGCAAAAACAATGAGGAATCCTGTGGCACCTTAGAGACTAACAGATTTATTAGGGTGTAAACTTTCGTAGGTAAAATCCACTTCATCAGATAAATTGGGCTACAATGTATTGTTAATGTTAATTAATAAGTGCAGTTGAGTTCTCATTATTGAATGCTTTATCTATACTAACAAATGGTTTAATGTAATGTAATGAAAATAAAATATCGGTATTTTCTAAACCATGGAAAACCTGAGATTTCAGTTACCAAAGAGCAGTAACTATTTTGGTAAATGTGCTGCCATTTTAAAGCCTGATTTTTCAGAGTTTCTGATCACTGGCAGTTCCTATTGACTTGAACTGGAGTTCTGGGAGGAACTCAATGCTTTTGAAAAATCAAGGAATAAGTGACTACTGTGTATGTTATAAAAATAACGAAGAACAAGTAATATGAGACTGTAGCACACATATCTATTACATATTCTTAAGACAAAGGGTGAGGCCACTCTTTTGTGAGAATTACCAGATTTTCATGATTTGGCAAAGTAAGCATTACTGACTGCATTTTCTATGTATTATGGGTGAGTATGATTATAGCTTCATTGAAATACATGATGCTGTTGCCATTTATATAAGCTGAGCATCAAGCCTTATAGATTTAATTGGACCTAAATGATTTGAAATATTTTATTTTTCCAGGGTGTGCTGATCTCCACACTCTTGATACAATGCAACCAATGGAAAGGAAAAGACAGGGCTACATTCATGAGTTGATCCAGACTGAAGAGAGATACATGGATGATCTCCAGCTTGTCTTAGAGGTGAGAGCTACTTGGAAACAAAAGGTATTTTAAGCAACTGTCAAAGCAAAGTCTTTTATCTTCAGTGCTTCTTCCTTATTAGACAGTCTTTATGGCACTTAATTCATAGCTGAATTGTGTAATCTTTACAGTCATAGATGTGAAGGCTTTGATGTTTTAACAACACACAACATTGTAGAATATGTTTTCTCATTATATCAACTCTTCAGGTATCAAAAATTGCTGTGTTTTCTAAAGGAAAGCTGCTAAGTTTACATTGTAAGAACAATGCATTTAATTGCTTCTGTCTGTCATTTAGCGCATATCTATGCCATGCCAGCAAAATGCTCTAGAAGGGCATAATTTTTAGAGTTTTCTATTATACTGTGTTCCAGCTACCCCATAGACTCAGCTGATGTGGTGCAAAACATCCTAGTTTACATTAACATAGTCCTGTGGCCTACGTTAATGTAACCTAGGTAGGTTCTACATGGGGTAGTTAGTGTTCTTAATATAACACACCCTTTCTGGCACAATGTGCTGCACAGACAAGCCCTTAGGGAGGAATTGCCTGTGGCTTAAATAACCCTGCAAGTTCTCCTTTGCTACTGTCTTCAGAATATTTGGAGGAAACCAGTGTATCGCCAATACCTCACCAAATTTCATTCAAGCAGGTTAATGAATTGCTTGCTCAGAGATTACATTGCTGCTTCAGTATTTATGTTCCTCCCCTAGAAAAACATCCCTTTCTGTCTGGCATTACCCTCAGTTCTGGGCCCTCAAGCAAAAAGCAATTTAAATACTTTTCCAAATACTGTACTGTGTTTTCTTTCACATGAGTAACTCTTTTCTCCTAATGGCCCGTCTGACTTAATATTTAGTTTTTATGTTTTACTCTTTACCTTCAACATTGATCTGAAGCACTCAGTTGTTATGAATTATTCGGTTTTGGAACGGACATGAGCAACACATTTCAAACACCACTTATGTCTTTTCTTCTTTGAATGACTACTCGTGCATTCCAAGTTAGGTGATTCTCAAGCTGCTGTCCAGCAGAGGGGTCAGAGATGGCTGGTCTGCTGTCTGCTACACAGCTCTTCCAAATGTAGCATCCTCTCTAGCCTGCTGTTGGATGGCATAGTGGGATGTAAACATGTATACTGAGGACAATGTGGCTACTCGACAAACAACTTGGACAGGAACATGAGCAAGATAGGCCATTGACAACGCCTGCACTCGAGTTAAATAGTCAGACAACTAAGGGGCTGGATCTTTTGCACAGTCATAACAAGTGCAGATACAGACCATGATCCAGGAGGAGAACCTCTGGGTGGTGACGGGGAGACCCTTCATCCTAGCCACTACAGTAATAAACGGAAAATAGCAGGAATAAAACCCCTGCCTTTGAACTACATAGGAACCTCCTCTACCTCGAGAAGCGTCTGCACCTCCTGTCATAGTAGCTGGTGGTAAGAGGGATAGAGTAGGGAAATGAGAAGGAGAGGGGGATAACCAAGAGCTGGGTAGAATATCCCACTCTTACCTTGTCTATAACCCATCTGTCTGATATGATGTGTCTAGGCATGGTAAAAGTGGGACAAGCGGCCCCCAAACATAGAGACAGGGCCTGGAAGAGAGAGAGGTACTTTGTCCTTGGGTACATCTCTAAAAGTTCTTCCCAGGCCCCGCTGACTGTCTGGAAGACTGGGCCTGGTTATTAGTGCCCCTATTCTCACTAATACTGGCACTTGGGGGGCGATCATGACTACTTCTACTACCCCTTCTATTCGGCTCTTGCGTCTGATGAGGAGGGTAGTTGTGTGGCAGCGATGTCTGTTTGAAATACCTACGCTGGGTTGTAGGACGTTAACTTAGCCCTTGTATCTTTTCAACTATGGAGCCTGGAATCAGTCTGCTCTGCAAAGAGGATAGAACCTTCACACGGAAGGTCCTGTATCATATTTTTTACTTCTGGAGGGATCCCAGACACCTGCAGCCATGAGTTCAGCCTCAAAACAATGCCCTTTGACATTGTACAGGAGGTGGAGTCTTCAGCATCGAGGGCTGCCTGAAGAGAAGTCCAGGAAATCACCTTCCCTTCCTTAACATGGGCAGTAAACTTGGACCTGGAGTCTGAGGGCAGGCACTCCTTAAATTTGTCCATGGTTGCCCATGTATTTCAATTATCGTGACCCAACACCGCTCGTTGATTAATTATCTTCAATTTAAGGCTACCTGACAAGTAAACCTTCCTCCCCAGAAGGTCTAGCTTCTTGGAATCTTTCGACTTAGGAGTTGGGCCCTGTTGACCTTGGCATTGTTTGGCATTAGCTGCATCCACCACCAGAGTACCTGGTTGCGAATGTATATATAAGTAATCGTACCCCTTGGAAGGGGCAAAGTACCCCTACGGTGGGATCTCTTCCTATGGCCGTTGACAGGGTACCCCTGCTGACAGAGGCCATGGACACTGACCTGGAATTGACCATCTGTGTTTGGTGATAGGCCCAGTGGGTCCAGAAAGACCACTGTGGAGGTACCTCCCAGTGAGGAGGCCATTGCACCACCAACTCTTGCCTTCTCGCTGGTTGGCGATGGATTGAGGTGTGCCACCGCTTCAACTGGCTAGTCTCTGGTTCCGACTCTGACGTAGATGTGGCACCTGGAGACCACAGGGGAGCAGTACCATGATGCACTGGTGGTCTCTGAGAAGGGATGAGATCACCAGGAGGACTGTGCCTTGTACAGGAGCCATACCGGGATCAGTGCCGAGGTGAATGTTCTCCACTGAAAGAACAGTGCCATCTGGGAGGACTCGGTCTTGTTCAGGAGCCCTCACCAGATGGTGCCAAGGTGAATGGTCTCGAATTGGCAAATGATGCCAATGGTGAAAGTGACCTCCTTAACGTAGGGGGTTTTCTCTTTGAATGCACCGGGTCCGGTATTGGCGATGGTGCTGGAGAAGCAGGTGGGGACTCTCTAGGTGACACTGATCATCCCAACGTTAGCTCAGTGAGGTCCCGTGCTCATTTAGAAATGGGTTTTCCACTCTTTTTTGTAACTAAGTTTTGGCCCGTGGGAGTCCCCCATGAGTATATTAAATGGTGACTTTTCCATCTAGTCATTATGCTTGAAACAGGAGTATTGTTTTGATAATAAAAGTTCTTTCTCTTTTATTAACCTGGTATTGGTTCAGTTCTGTGTCCTGGAAAATCTATCTCTGGATATCTGCAGGCCTCTGACTAGAGGCCAGCAACCACATACTGCAGTTTATATTTTCTCTCTTTTTCAAGCTCTTTGGAGAAAAGAGCTTGGGGTGCCCTAGGGTTGGTTTCAAGTGTCCACCCCGTTTGTGGGTTCAAAAGCACTTGATGGTGGCAGCGGATTTTTTTTTTAATCCCCAAAATCTAGGTTTTCAGGATTTTGTGGGGTAGTTTTATACCAAAGCCTGGAGAGAGAAGGTTTTGGGGTACTTTTGTGTGCCTCCACTTCTGCATTTATCATGCCAGAGTGGGGAATCAGCCTTGACAGGGGTACTTCAAAGCAGCAGCGCCGCACGGAGCCCGGGGTACAGCCTCCATGTGGTGCTGCTGGTTTGAAATGCTGCGGCAGCATTTCAAAGGGGCAGCGCCACACAGCAGATCCCAGGTTCAGTGTGACGCTGCCCCTTTGAAATGCCGCTGCAGCGTTTTAAAGCGGCAGTGCCACGTGGAGCCCGGGGTCAGCTGGTGACTCCCTAGCTGATCCTGAGCTCTGTGCGGCATTTCCACAGAACCTGGAGTCAGCTGGGGAGTCCCCCGCTGACCCCAGGCTCCATGCAGGCACTTCCACTTTGAAATGCACAAGAGCCCTTGCTAGGAACTCTTGTGTATTTCAAAGCTGGCATGGGAAGTCCCACTGACTCCAGCTCCATGTGGGTGCTTCCGCTTTGAAATGCACAAGAGCCTGGGAAATTCCATCCACTACTCAACTAGTAAATTAATCGATATCTAACATCCTTTAACATGCAAAGTTCTGAGCAAAGATGGTGGTTCTTGGACAGGAGCTGTGCAAGCACTAGGAGAGTATGCTGTCTTCCTTGAACTCTGATTTGACTAAATTTTTGAAGCAAGTATGGTCAGTGGTTAGGGCACTAGCCTAGGAACTGGAAGAGCTGGGCTCATACCCAGCTCCCCCATAAACCTCTTATGTGACGAAATGGAGCCATAGAAGTACCTGAGAGAGAGATCTAGATGGACAGAGTTTGCCTTTGGGAACCAAGCGCTGGTGTTGGGCTGAGATTCCTGAAAGAAGGGGTTAACCAGCATGCTAGTTAACTGTCACTCTTCCAGGGCTGTCTGTCTGTGTAAATAAAATGAGTAACATTTAAATATATCCAGACTCTGCCAATGTGAAGCCACATGGAAGATTTTGCCACCCGCCACCACTTAGCAAAGAGGTGATTCCGGTGTCAGAGTAAGACACTGGTGTTGGAAGAAGGGGTAACAGTAGGAACTCACAGGCAGCATCTCTAGCAAGTGATCTGGAAAATGTTCCATTAAAGAGCTTATTTGTCTGCAGTGGTTCTCAGGAGAAATGAATGGGTGGGTACCACGACGTTGTGAATGAATCAGTGCATTATGTTTCAAACCACTTGAAGAAAAAACAACTGGCCATGTTCTGCTTTCTCTGTGCTTGAAGTTGCTCACTTGTCTGTTCTTTGTAGGTTTTCCAGAAACGAATGGCTGAATCAGGCTGCCTCACAGAAGGAGAAATGGGACTGATCTTTGTTAACTGGAAGGAGCTCATAATGTCTAATACAAAGTTACTTAAGTGAGTACAGCTAGCATTTGTGCCTCCTAAATGAGAGCCCACTACTGTTCAGTCTCTCATCAACGTAATTATATCTTTTCTCACTCCACTCCCTAGGAAACTGGTTTTATTGTAAAGTCTGGTGAACGCTAGAAAATGAGGTTGTCATAACTACATCACTCAGAGGTGTGAAAAAATTCACAACCCTGAGCAGCAGAGTTATGTTGACCTAAGCTCCTGGGTAGACGGTGGTAGGAATACTTGGTAAGAATTCTTCCATCAACTTAACTATCGCCTCTCAGGGAGATGAATTGCCTACTGATGGAAGAATACCTGCTGTCAACATAGGTAGTGTCTACTCTGAAATACTGTTGCATCACAGCTATGCTACTGTACCATTGTAAGTGTACACACAAGCCCCTAGTGTTTCTGCTCTTGCTATTTATTTCCAACTTGATAATCCTGCAATGTCAATTCAAAGCATTTAAGTATAATGTCACAAAGTGCGAGTTATGAGAGGAAAAGGAACAAACAGAAGGAGATGCATTTTTTTAACAGAGATCCTTAGAAATAGAGGATGTATGTAAGAAATGTATAAAATATGTTTTCAGTGTTTTCTGGAGTGAATTTTTGCAATGATAAATTTGTTCATTATTTACTGTAAGGTGGGATGATATGCATGTATGGGGTTAAATCAGACTAGATCAATACCTCTCAAATTGGAGATCTGACCTAAAAGGTGATTGCAAGACTACTGTAGAGGAGTCTTGAGAGTGGTGGCTGCTGGCCAGGTGCCCAGCTCTGAAGGCAGCAGCACAGAAACAGAGATAGCATGCTATGCTGTGGGTCAACACTTTCTTGGGGGGCGGGCATCCCAGCCAGAAATATCTTCAAAGAGGGCCAGCAAAAAAGGTTGAGAGCCCCTGGATTGATGATCGTGATGGCCCCTTCTGACCTTAAAGTCTCTGAGTCTGTGGAGGCCAGTGGCTGCGCTGTTTGTCCAAAAAATCCTTGAAGAGGAGGGAGAAGCATTCCTGTTTCAGATATCACTTCCTCCTCACAATTCATGCGTTAAGCAAGTCTCTCAGTACAGCATGTAGTGCCGGCACTTGGATTTAATACGTTCCAGGGCCTAATGGCGCTGGAGGCTTTTTCTGTAGGAACTCAATGACAGATGGAAATTCTGAGGCTCCAGGACTTCTGAAATACAGAGTCAAACTGTGGAATTTTCTCCCCTGCAGAGCCTTGCGAGTGCGGAAGAAGATGGGAGGAGAAAAAATGCCCGTGCAGATGATTGGGGACATCCTGGCTGCAGAGCTCTTGCACATGCAAGCCTACATCAGATTCTGCAGTTGCCAGCTCAATGGAGCTTCCTTGCTGCAACAAAAAACAGATGAGGAAACAGAATTCAAAGACTTCTTAAAGGTATTCTGTTCATTCGCTTCCATTTCACATCCCTATGGCCTTTCTTCTGATGGCAGGGCACGTTCAGAAGCCTGTTCAACCAAAGGTTGACTTGTCCAGAAAAAAAACCATGACTTCAGAATCCTTCATGCAGAGATGCAATCCTCTGCTTTTCTATGGATCTGATATGCTAGCCCTGTTCGCATTCAGTGTACCTCAGTGTTGGGCCACATGCAGCTGGGCACCAGCGGGCCACATGCAGCTGGGGTTCCACCTGCAGCCTGTACACCCCCAGTTTGCCCTGCCCCACACATGCCTCTCTCACACTGGGGCACAGAAGCCCCACACTTCCTCCTCTTCACCCTCCCTCCCAGCACTTTTAGAGCATCATGAATCTGCTCATTCATGCTCCGTCCCCACTCCTCCCTCCCAGAGCTGGAACACCACTGAGACGGAGGGCCACTCATGCAGCCCATTCACTAGTCTTGGTTGCCCTTCGCTGGTGTACATGGTTTACAGTAGCTGTAGAACATGTCCTTCAGTCTTGCTTCCTTGTCAATATTTTATTCCCTTTTCCATTCCACTGCTTCATATTAATTCAGCATAGTTGCTGCACCCACAAAGTTAGTGCTTGTGTCTGCCTTACTTTCAAGGGTCATGCTACAAAAGAGGTTGGAGTTGATTGATTTGCACTGCAAGGCTTGCTGTTTTAAACACCCTGCATAACTTAACAAAATCAAGGTGCTGTTTTGGACTGTGGTTGCTGTCCATGTAAGAACATTAGCGCCAGAAGGCTAACTAAGCACAACATTACATAAAATAAATAAGAGTAAGGAACTGCTGCTGCAGTTCATCTGATGAGCTATCTTTGATGCAGGGCAATAGCAGTGAAGGAAAAACCATTTGACACTGTGTCTGTGTTAGCTTTTAAACAAGCTTTCCAGGATCCTTATGCTATGTACAATAAAATTATAATTTACAGCTGACTTAGGGCTTTGATGACTACAGGAACTGCACTTTTCTGGCTTATTTAGGGTTTGTCTGCACTGCAGTTAGCCACCCACAGCTGGAGTGTGCCAGCTAACTTGGGCTCATGGGGCTGAGGCAAAGCAACTGCTTACCTCAAGTGTAGACATCAGGCTCAAGCTGCAGCCCAACCTCTGGGACCCTCCCACCTCATAAGGTTCTAGAACCTGGGTTCCAGCCCAAGCCCAGACATTTACACCACAATTAGAGAACCCCGTAGTCCAAGCCCTGGGATCCTGAGTCAATTGGCATGGGCCAGCCACGGGTTTGTAACTGCAGTCTAGACTGTAATTGCAGTCTCAGTAGAATGACAGTTCTACAACGTGCCATTAGTTCTGAATGTAAATGGACTGTGATGTTTCACCTAGGTGAGTTCTAGGATTTCTTGCAGAAACTAGGAAGCTGCGTTCCATCAGGCACTGTTCAGTGCAGTGATGCAAATAGTTATTTTTATGCCTTGATCAATAATGCAATGTTTGTTAAATGTCTGGATTTCACCATAGAAACTG